CCATGCCAGGCCGGCCCCGCCACGGGGCGTGCTGAGATGGCCACTGAGACTGGGCGTGGTGGCGCGCGCCTGTAATCCCAGAGCTTGGGAGGCTGAAACCAGGCGGACCGCTACGAGTCCGATCTACATGTAAGACCCTGAACACCCTGTAGACCCTGCCCTAAATACGGGGGGTGGGGGGGAAGAGCTTAACAAGCAAACCAGAATGCTTGGCAAGAAGCCATACTAACAACGAGCTTAAGGGTGGAGGAGTTACAATTTTAAATAGGATGAGATTTGAGCAAAGCTTGAAAGAAAAATGTCACTACGTTTGGTGATGCACACCTGTGATCTCAGCAGTCAGGAGGCCGAGGCAGGAGGAGCCTGTAGTCTGAGGCAAGGCTGGGCCGCAAGCAAGTCTGACTTCCAGCTGTGTCTTCACATGGCCGGATCTCCTTTCCCTTCATCCCCAGCCATCCAGCTGGGGACCGCCACGAAGGTGGCCTCATCCAATCCACAATAGTGCCCCAGACCCCACTTGGAAAACCACCGTGTGGGGACACCTGGGAGCAGGAGGGGCAGGAGATGCACGTGTCCTGGGTCCCCAGGGCAGGCACAGCTCAGTCCCCCTCTGCCACAGAGCGGCTCCACTTCTGCTGATTCAACGGAAGCCCTGGAGCTGAATGAGGACGCAGATGGCGCTGGCTGGCCCTGAACCTTGAGGGAGCAGCTCCCAGGAGGACATGGATCTGGGCATGGGGTGCCTCGGGGTCCCCACAAAGGCCTTCAGGCTGGACTGTTCCAGGGGGCCTCCCAGTGGGTCACAGCGACCTGGACAGCGGGACCGTTGACCCTGAAGTGTCTTGCTTGTGACTCTGGTCACCCATCCCCATTGTCCCCCAGGACAAACGTCCACTCACTGTTGGCCTTTGGGTGGGATTGTCCCCTGCCCCTGCCCACAGAGGACCCAGGGCACTTTGGGAGACCAGTGCTGTGCCTGAGCAGCCAGGAGGCTCAGCCTGGAGTGACAGCCCTGCCTTGTGGGGACGGTACCCTCTGTAGTCCCACCTCCTATACTGGGTCCAGGCCTCCCTCCCCGGGGGCATGGTGATGACAGGTCAGCAGTACCCACTTAGGCCAGTGCCACTCCAAGGGCCTTGTCCTTTCAGAAGTGCATCAGTCATGCGGCCCAAGCAGGACCCAGGCCATGCTGTCTCACCTGCCACCAGAGCCTGGCTGTACCGGCTGTGGGGTCAGAGGGTGGCTCACTGCGACCCGGGTAGTGTTGTGGGCGCAATGCTGGCTGTGGGCAGGGCCGGGCTGGCCAGGGAGCCTGAGCGAAGCCTGGACTCCTCTTGCTGACCTCTCCTCGTTCTGGTGACAGGAGAAGATGTGGCTGGCGCTGCCTCTGTCCGCACGCAGCACGTGTGCGGTCCGGGACTGGCCTCAGTGCTGCTCTCTGGGGCTTTTGTTTGTTTGAGATGCATCCCAAGACCCAGGCCAGCGCCTCACTGAAAAAGCAAAGGATGAAATGGGTAGATTGTACAAAATAAGGGTTCACACTGCCTTATGTTTGTGTCTAGTTGCCCCCCCCCCCCAGCCTCATGCAGTCACGGGGTGGCTTGTAGAGTTTCTGATTAATTCGTGAGCCAATGCTGGGATTATGGGTGTGAGCGCTGCACCCGACGTGGGGCAGATACTCTGCATTACATCGTAAGGAGGGGAGAGGCTGCTAGCGCCCAAGCTGCTGCCCCTCCCTTCGCTCTCTGCTCTTTGCTGCTACCGCCCAATGGCTGTCCTCTGCCATGTGCCGCTCTGCCTTGGAGCCAGCTGAGTATGGACTGAAACCCCCACCAACTGTGAGTTAAGTCAACCTTTCCTTCCTTCATTTTGGGTGTCAGGTATTTGTCCCAGCAACAAGGAGAGTAACTAAGATAATGGTGCATGCCTGTAATCCCAGTACCCAGGAGGCTGAGGCAGGAGGATCTCTTGTGAGTTTGACCACCAGTTAGCAACCCACTATAGTTGTTAAAATCACCACTGCTGTATAACCCAGTCCGGAATTAATGCATCTCTCTGAGTGAAACTATGTATAGCTGAGACCTTTTCTCAGGTAGCCAAAACCAACCAAGAGGGTGCAGGGACTACATACCAGTAATCCTGCTGGGTGTGGGAGGCCCACCTGCGGATTCCTACCAGCAGGATAAGAGGCAGAACTGGAGAAGCTGTGCAGAGGCTGGTAGGGAAGCTGTTGGAAGCTGCTGGTTCTTTGGGCTATTCTGCCGGAGGACCTGGTCATGCTGGTTTTCCTGGTGACGCTGGCTGGTCCTATCGCAGGAGGAGCTCGGGACCTCACTGTGAGCAGCTGAGAATGGTTGTGGTTCCCCGTGGGGAGTGCTAGTGCTCATCCTGAGCATCACTTCCTGGTGCCACAGAGGAAGACTGCACTGCTCGGTCTCTTGGAGAAGCCTGTTGTGCTGGCTTTCCTGAAGGGAGCTTGGCTGTTCACAGCCTTGGAGGAGCTTGGGACCTCGCTGTCCCTGAGGATGGCTGTGGTACCTCTCCGGGGAGCTGTTTCTTGAGTGTCGCTTCCCGGCTCCAGTTCAGATCCCTCAGCCTGCAGCTGGTACAGAGCCTTCACCCCCTGGGCAGACTTTCTGGCTTCCACCACTGACCTTTGGGCCTTCCCAGCGCAGATCTGTGAAGCGGGCCTGCATGAGACATTGTTGTGGGTGTTAGGCCTCCAGCTGGACTTGTGGGAGGCAGTTATGGGCTCTAGGTTTTCAGCTGGACTCATGCGGATATTAGGACCCAGGCCCTCAGCTGGATCCCGACAGGTTTTGGCCCAAGTACAAATTGCTATATTATTATGGCCCTGACCCAACATGGTTGACTCCCAAGACAGCTTATCTTCCCAGGGACCACCTCCTCCACGCCCAACCCAGTCCTGAACACAACTTCCTTTTACCTTTCCCATGCCACAAGGGAGACCCCAATCAGCTCCTTGGGAGTCACTAAACCTGCCTCTTGAGCTCCGCCCCTACAAAGTCCACACCACCCCAGACCCCCTGTCTCAGGTCAGAGGATCCCCTATTTCCCTGAGGTCCTCTCTGTGTCCTCAGTCAATAAAGCCCCCTCCTCCTTTCCTTCTGCTTCTCTGCCCCTGGAAAAGCCTAGCAGATTCTTTGGTCTTTAGTGTGTGGACAGATTTCCTGCACTCTTGTACATGATTCTTTGGGTGATTATAAAATCTTGTAAAATGTCTCCTGTATTGTATTGTTCCCTTGCAAAAGCTCCAAACCATGACAATGCTGTTGTGTACTTGAAAACTGCTGAGATCTTCACTGATACAGAATGAAGCTCCTAACCTAAAAGATACCTGGGACAAGTTTGTATTCTCTAAAACTGAAGAATGAATTTTAGGAACAGTGGAGGTTAAGAGCAGAAGATGTTTACTGAGGGAAAGAAAGTTTCTGTCTGAGGGACAGAAGGGGAACCGAGCGGTTGCCCAGGAACCTGTCATTTCTAGGGGTTTTTATAGAGCAAATCCATGAAGTGAGGTGGGTCCAACATAGGAATCATGGGAATTCACACATGAGGTAGGACAAAACTATGATCAGCCAATGAGATTTATAACTGATTGTATCAGGATTATATGGGGAGGCGAGTGATGCAACAAGGGGGCAGGAAGGGGCTGGGGAGATGGCTCAGTAGAATAAGCGCTTGCCTGGCAAGCACAAGGGTCTCAGTTCAAATCCCTGGTTCCGCAAAAACAAACAAAAAACCAAGTGGACAGGAAGACAGAACAGGGGCTTTTCCTGTAGGGGGCTGGGTTAATGACTCTCTCTGGCTTTTTCAAGGTGACCCATGCCTATTTAGAGTATCAGTCCCTGATGTCCGTCCCTAGGGCAGTATGTGGCTGCATTCGCTTCATCGTTTGTCTTGAGGTCCGGCCCACAGTGGAAGTGCCTGTCTCCCCGGCAGTCAGAAGGTACGCTGTCTTCCATACTGGGAACTTCCCACACAGGTCCTGTCTGACTGCCGACAGTATTTCTATCTAACTCAGCTGACCACGACATCATCATACACGAAAATAACTGTATATCACAAGGTTTCCTTTGCATGAGAACCCAGAGTAAAAACAGAAACAAATTAGAAAAGAAAGGGACTGTCAGGTTGCAACACACACACACACACACACACACACACACCCCACTGTACACCTCAAACATTTAATTTTCCATTTGTAATTATATCCCAGTAACGCTGGAGAAAAAAATTCTTAGGCAGTTCACACTCCATTCAGAACATGAACATGGGGCTGGGGAAATCGCTCAGTAAGCCGGGCGCGGCGGCGCACGCCTGACAGCCCAGCACTTGAGGCCGACAGCAGGATCGCCCTGAGCTCAAGGCCAGCCTGGGCTACACAGCGAGACCCTGTCTCAAAAACTACCCCGCTCCTCCCATCTCCCCCGCTCCCAAGCACATTTCGCCGTCAAGTTCGATTTGGCTTCCAAAGGACGCCCCTTGAGAAACCGAACTTCGCCACCAGGTGACCCACGCAGACAGACAGCAAACCGGCCCGCGCTCCTCCGCCGTCCAGAAAGAAGACACTTCCGGCAGGCGGCCGGCCGTACGGCGCCTGCGCACACCGGGCAGAGGCGGCGCTGGATTATGACGCAACGCCTCCTCGGGCTGAGCCGCGACTCCGCACAGCCGCAGTCGGGACCAGTAGCCTTGGGCGCCGCCGCCTGCGCCTGCGCCTGCGCCCTGCGCGCCGCGTCCTCGACGGCCTACCCGCATTCCGTTTCCGCCGATTCGTCACACCTCGTTGTCAGAATTAAAAATTAAAATTTACCTAATTAAGACGTTTTTCCTGGCCTAAAAGAAGGATAAGGAATGAGAAGGATCTACAAATTTTTACTGGTTCTGAAGTCCCTGGAATCAATGCCCTGCAGATCCGGGCTTGGTGCCGAACGTGCCGGTGCGGACGTCCAGCCGCCGAGCCCGCGCTCAGCCGCGTTGGCCGCCACCCCCGCCCAGGCCGACGTGGAAGTTGTGGCGGCTGACCTCGCCGGCGGGGACCGCTGGGCCCGCGGCCGGAGCCAGGGCGAGCGGAGGTGGCGGCGCCGAGGTCGCGGAGGAGTCGCTGCCGAGTGAGGCGCGGGCGGAGCGGCGCTCATCATGGGTGAGGCACTTAGGGGCAGGAGCCGGGGCCGGGGCCGGGGCTCGCTCGGCTCCTCACCTGCCGGCCGGCCGGGTCTGGCCGAGCCGCGGACGCCGCCGCCC